ACCACTACACCAGGTCAGTTCCAGACCTCTACACCACTACACCCAGGTCAGTCACAGACCTCTACACCTCTACACCCAGGTCAGTCACAGACCTCTACACCTCTACACCCAGGTCAGTTCACAGACCTCTACACCTCTACACCCAGGTCAGTTCCAGACCTCTACACCCAGGTCAGTTCCAGACCTCTACACCTCTACACCCAGGTCAGTTCCAGACCTCTACTACTACCCAGGTCAGTTCCAGACCTCTACACCCAGGTCAGTTCCAGACCTCTACACCACTACACCCAGGTCAGTTCCAGACCTCTACACCACTACACCCAGGTCAGTTCCAGACCTCTACACCTCTACACCCAGGTCAGTTACAGACCTCTACACCTCTACACCCAGGTCAGTTACAGACCTCTACACCTCTACACCCAGGTCAGTTCCAGACCTCTACACCTCTACACCCAGGTCAGTTCACAGACCTCTACACCTCTACACCCAGGTCAGTTACAGACCTCTACACCTCTACACCCAGGTCAGTTACAGACCTCTACACTACACCCAGGTCAGTTACAGACCTCTACACCACTACACCCAGGTCAGTTACAGACCTCTACACCCAGGTCAGTTCCAGACCTCTACACCTACACCCAGGTCAGTTCCAGACCTCTACACCTACACCCAGGTCAGTTCCAGACCTCTACACCACTACACCCAGGTCAGTTCCAGACCTCTACATCACACCCAGGTCAGTCCAGACCTCTACACCCAGGTCAGTTCCAGACCTCTACACCACTACACCCAGGTCAGTTCCAGACCTCTACACCACTACACCAGGTCAGTTCCAGACCTCTGCACCCAGGTCAGTTCCAGACCTCTACATCACTACACCCAGGTCAGTTCCAGACCTCTACACCCAGGTCAGTTCCAGACCTCTGCACCCAGGTCAGTTCCAGACCTCTACACCACTACACCCAGGTCAGTTCCAGACCTCTACACCACTACACCCAGGTCAGTTCAGACCTCTCTACACCCAGGTCAGTTCCAGACCTCTACACCCAGGTCAGTTCCAGACCTCTACACCACTATACACCCAGGTCAGTTCCAGACCTCTACACCACTACACCAGGTCAGTTCCAGACCTCTACACCCAGGTCAGTTCCAGACCTCTACACCCAGGTCAGTTCCAGACCTCTACACCACTATACACCCAGGTCAGTTCCAGACCTCTACACCACTACACCCAGGTCAGTTCCAGACCTCTACTCACTACACCCAGGTCAGTTCCAGACCTCTACACCACTACACCCAGGTCAGTTCCAGACCTCTACACCTCTACACCCAGGTCAGTTCCAGACCTCTACACCACTACACCCAGGTCAGTTCCAGACCTCTACACCACTACACCCAGGTCAGTTCCAGACCTCTACACCACTACACCCAGGTCAGTTCCAGACCTCTACACCACTACACCCAGGTCAGTTCCAGACCTCTACACCCAGGTCAGTTCCAGACCTCTACACCCAGGTCAGTTCCAGACCTCTACACCCAGGTCAGTTCCAGACCTCTACACCCAGGTCCAAACTCAAGGCCAAAAACTCAACACTGAATTTTGACTTTTTACTGGAGTGAGAGATCGGAGTTTTTCTCTTCTTCCACCTCTGGAGACGAGGAGAGGAACATCTGGAGGCAGATTCATCCCACAGTCTACTCGTTAAAGCGTCACCAGCGTGCGTGCGTGCGTGCGTGCGTGCTCCACCTGCAAAATATTTTTTTGGGTCATGCAGTGAAAAGAAGGCGATTGTTTTTTCATAAGAGCAGCATGTGAGTAAAGTTTTAATTCAATTTTGTGTCTTTGTGTTCAAGTTTGATCAACAGGCGAGGTCTGATCCAGTCCGACACGCCACAGCCCGCCCCCCAGACCAACGGGACCAGTGGCGGTGGCAGCTACGCCTCCACGCAGCTCCACAGCCGCATGGTAAGCACATCGATGACATCACAACATGTGTTCAGTAAGAAGCTTCAGTTTAATCATCTTTAAACTCAACACGTGTCCAGATGTTTACGCTCGACGCCGCCACGGTGAGGTCACGGCTCTGTGCATGTCGAGTTTAAAGAAGTGAAACATACTTTGAGCTGCCTGCTCAGTTTGTTTAATGATTGAAAACAAAAAAAAACAAATATTTATGAGTCAGGTGAGCAGGTTTGAATCCTTTTAAAACGGCGTGCAAACCAACAACTCAGACAGTGTGCACCAGTGTGTCTAAATTAAAAACATGAAATAACCAACGGTGAGGTCAGGACTGCTATTTTTGTTGTCGTGGTAACAAAACAGGTTTGGATATCGTCTGATTTTAACGTCTCTGTGTCCGCAGTGCGATCAGGATCAGTGCATCCAGAGCACAAAGTTCGTCCTGCAGGCCGCGGCCACCCCTCTGCTCTACAGCGACCCCGTGGTCATGGCCCCCCCTCTCCCGGGGAAGACCACCACCCTGGGGGGCCCCTGCGCCTACCTGGCACCCTCCCAGCCCTCCCTGCCGTCCTGCGGAGGAGACGTCCTTACCCTGAGGGACGCCGCCGCCGACTCCCACTGCCACCACCACCTCTACCATCACCACCATCACCTCCACCACCACTTTGTCAGCCCAGAGGAGACGCCATGCAGCACGCCGCAGGGTGCCCTTCCCTGCCCCGCCCACCTGCACCTCCACTCACACCCACACCCGCCTGTCCCCTCCCCCTCCGCCCTCTACAACCCGGCCAGTCAGGACGCCCTGCACGAGGACTCGGTCAGGGGACTCGTCAAACTCAGCTCTGTCTGAACCAAACTCACAACATCGTACATAAAAGTGTTTCCTCATTCAAGTCACGTGACGGAAACTCGACAAATCAGAGTCACTCGCTGCAGTTAGGAAGTCGGTTTTAAAATTTCTGGAAAACAACTTTTTATAAAAGGAAAGTCACAGAAGATACGACCCTCCTCTATTAGAAACTTTAAATTAGGTTGAGTTTGAACCCTCTGGAGTCCAGATTGAATGTTTTCAAACTTTATCTTCATTTTTATTTTTTAGCTCGTTAGCATGATGCATGGTGTCATTTTAATCAAAAGAAACTCAACTCCAACTCAAAACCTTAATGCAACATATTAATTACGCTGATACGTAGCTGATACATGGCGTTTCATCTCACTGTATCATAGCGTTGTGTAAGCAGGAACATTACACTCCGGTTTCCATCCAGTAATTTAAAACGTTTGCTTACAAAAAATAATTGATCCTGATAAAACCAGATTTCTGCAAAGTGTTTATTGCCAAAGGTCATATCTCAAAATTGCGATAAATTATAGAGCGTCAACAAAATGAAGCCGATGCTGAAGTGTAAAATCCTGCAGTTCTGGAGTGTCCACTAGAGGCTGGCTGCAGAAGCACAGGAAGTCACATACACACCCATTCTAAAAAGCCTGTTTTTACAGCAGAGATGAACATGTTTACAGCCTGGTTCAAAAAACCAAATAGGTGTGATTAGCTCATGTCTGGATGGACACACACTGTACGGGGGGTGAATGTTTTGATGACTCATCAGTTTTGATTTGATGAAGGATAAGAGTTATTCACAATAAGGCGTGTAGCTGACCTGATTGACAGGTGGGCGCGGTGTAACGGTTTGTCAGGAGGTTTAAAACCCGCCTCAGCTCCAGCTCTCAGCCTGTCGTTAGGTTGACTGAAAGTTAGACTGAGACAGCATTTCCAGCATGGAGACTGCCATCGATGGGACTCCAGCGCCCCCTGCAGGTCATTTTGTGCAGCAATATTTACAGTCTGTGTATAAATGTTTCAGCTCTGAAGTTTAGATAAATGTAGGTTATGGTGTTGTGAAAAAGAAAACAGGATGGGTCAGAAGTTAAAAGACTCCAGAGGGTTTGAACCAGATAAATAAAAATGTTGATGCCGGCGTCCAGAATATAAACAAAAGATAACGAACTTTGAATGTTTTTTTTTTTTTCACCTTCATCTCCACAGCATCCTCCACCGGACTTTTTCATGAAGTTAAAAAAAAAAGAAACGATCATCAAACATTTTACCCAGAATAAGCTAAAACGATGCCAAATGGACGTCCACCTTCAGTCTGACGGAGACCGAGGTCAAAGACACAAACTGGGACCCCGACAGAGCGGTTCTTGATTGTAAAGTTTTATTCAGAGTTTATGTGAACAAAGAGAAATGATTGAGGAGAGCGTACTGACCCTGTGGGAATCTTCAGGGGGTTTTTTAAATTCCATTCTGGGGACAAAAAACAAGAAGCTGCAAACATCCGCAGAGCCGAGGTCGTCGGTTTGTTTGCAGCGAAGCAGCGACACTGCCAGAAGGTCAGCCGGAGGTCAAACCACGTCCCGCTGTTTACAGAGCAACAGACGGGATATGTGGACTTACTTTGTGACATCTTTGTTGAGGAACTTTGTCCTGAAAATGTTATTGTTAAACCAATAAAAGCTTTTGATTCCAAACACAAAGAGGAGTGTTGACTGTTTCAAAGCCTCAACTTTGGGTTCCATCTTGTTTTGTTGTTTTAAAGCAAAAGCTCTCTGGCTTTGATAACTATTGGGAAAATTAGAGGTGCAATTAGTCAACATAAATATATAACATAGTTTCTGTCCATTTTTAATTAAATTAGATATTTTAGTGTAATATTCTTACACAATTCGACCCTTTCAGTCATAAATATCTGTTTATTGTTCAGAGTTTTTGTGTTCATCCAAACCGCTAGGTGGCGTCTCTGACTCTGTTACAGACTGTTGTTGTTTTCCCACACAGCCAATCACGTTTCACTCTCCCGGAAACAGCTGCCGTAACAGCCAATCACGTTTCACTCTCCCGGAAACAGCTGCCGTAACAGCCAATCACGTTTCACTCTCCCGGAAACAGCTGCGGTGCTTCAGGAGGTTTGAGAGGGAAACTGAGTGAGCTGCTGTGAGCTGATCCGGTGTTTGAGTTGACTTGGTGACCGTGTAAACTGGTGACTTTAAGCAGAACGTGTCTTTGGTTGTCGTTGTTACAACTTGTGGATCTGTCTTCTTTTAGTGTTTCATATCTTATGAATGTAAGTAGATATTATATTAAATAAAAGAGTTTTCACGACTCTTTCAGAAGTCTCCAGTTAACAGCTGAATACTGTTGGCGCTGATTTATGACGATGACAGTAAACAAAGGAAAGCGCGGCGGCGGGAAAACAAACCTTTTGTATATAAACATGAGAGACTTTGGTGAAGATTTTAATTAAAATGATCGACTGACTTATAAAGATGTTAAGACAGTTATTGTGTTTAACTTTAATTCTGTATATAAACATATAAACTCTAATCCCCCTCTGTCAGATTATCAGGTCATTACCCGGATGTAGGTCTTACGTGGTCAGTCACACATCAGGATGAAACATAAACATGGTGTTCATGTCTTTGTTTTAGTTTTATAATGTAATAAAGTGTTTGAGGAGTCAGACTGCAGTGTCACTTTCCACCGCTGGGTGGCGACGCTGCTCTCTGACGTCACTGACCTACATTCACGGCGTCGTCTCCTCCTCCCGGAAACAGCTGATGAGTCACCTTCTGTTTTCGAGGGAAAATGATTTTATGATCCGCAGGGACTGAAACGCGATAAGAAATAAGGTATTTAATCCGCACAATCATTCACAGCAGACTCCTGCGTTTAAATGTCCCTTCACGAGTCTAAAGAGACCGTAAATAAACCGTCCAATCACCCGGATGTTCACACATTTAACTGACCAAGGCTTATCGCCATTTCTTTGTCTTTAACCTCTCATATCCACAGATACAGACACTCAAACATCTGTGTATGTGTGTAACATACTGTATGTTTTATGATATTATTTTTGGCGCCTGGTTGTCATGGTTACAACGCCTTAAGAGTGCAGGAAACAACAGAACGTGCAGCGGCGGGAATCCAAAAAGAAAAGGACGCCATAAAAAGTGTAACACCCACATTAAGTTAATCTTTAAAAAGCATCGAAAACAAGCACGAGAGCCAATAATGATTTGATTTATAAACATTCTCACATATGAAGGGAACACAATGTGTAAAGCAGAATTAGTGACTTTGAAGACGTAGTGTTTTAGAAAAAGACTATTTCAAAGGGAATCGACGTACTTCTTTACGTCATCGCGATGTTTTAGGAACACATTTAACCGTTTATCGTGTAAAAGAAACGAGTCTTTTGTTTAAATGATACGTTGCGTAAACGCTGATTTAAATCGTTTCGTAACACCGGTGTTTCAGTCAGTTTTGTAACCCCGCACAGACAAAGCCGTTTGAATTTCCCGCAGCTGTTCAGGCGACACGTGATTGCGGCTGTCCTCCTGATTGGCTGCGTCGCGGCGTCAGCTTTAAAGAGACAGCACGAGCTCTGTTCTGATTGGTCGGCTGGTTTCTAGCGCCAATATTTCAATAAAAAGGGCGAGCGGCCAGCAGAACCCGCTCAGTGTCTCTCCTCTGTGTGCTGCTCGTTAGTTCTGCTCTTTTTAACGCTTTTATCTTCTTTCTGTGTTGTGAACTTAAAGGATCATCATGATGTCTGCTCGCTCTCCTCTCTCACGGAAGAGTGAGAACTGTCTCAGCAGTCAGCTCGTCAACGTGTCTCTGGACAAAGAAAACACGGTGAGTCACTAAAACCTGATGATTATAGTCTTTACATTCCACCGTTAAATTATTAATTCAGTTAATTTACTTTATTTAATTTACTGTATTTAATTAACTTCAGTTACCGGCTTGTTTAATTTCACCACATGGCCGCCATTTTATTTCACGTCTCCATGTTAGTGATGTGTTCCTCCTCGATACGTATTGAATCTCTGAATGTGATGAAGTGATGAACTCCGACACACAGAAGTGAAGTCTTTGTTTTAATAACATGTGAATGTTTTGTGAATGTTTTGTGTCTTCCAGCCTCCCAGTCTGAACACGACCCGGATCCTCGCGTCCAAAACGGCGCGGAACATCTTCAGTGAGCCCGCTGTGAGTGTGAAGAAACTAAAGAATATCTTTAATATCTTTAATATCTTTAATATCTTTAATGTCTTAAACCTGCAGGTGACTTTTATTAAGATATCAGTTTACAAAGAGCAGTTTCTGTGTCGTTCATTGTGAACATGTGGCGCCAAAATGTCTCTTCTGGCGCGAACAATCAGAAGATGATCAGCTGTTTGTTTGTTTGTTTGTTTGTTTTAATCACTTTATCATTAAATCTTTACCTCACATGAGAGCAGACTGTGATTTACTGATTTAATCTGAAACAAGCTGAAGTCTCTTCACTTCAGTTCTGCACGATTTAAAACCAGTTTAAAGTCTGAAGGAAAGAAGTTAAAGTTCTTTATTAGCTCTTCTGTGTTCAACAAATCCTGAGTCTGAAGAGTAACAGAGGAGTAACAGATATCTTCAGTGTTTACTGAGCGTTAAACATGTGATGAGTGTTAAACTTTAACGGCGTGGGGGGGGGGGACAAGACCAAACTGTTGGCAGTGAGCTGTCATGGCGTCTGTCTGCAGAGTCAAACCGGACGCGGCGTGTATTTTCGTGTCTGACGATGTTTTATTTGTCGTTCAGCCCAAAGACGTGAAGAAGAGCAGCAGCGAGGGGGAGGAGCCTCTGCTGAAGGAGAACCCTCGCCGCTTCGTCGTCTTCCCCATCCAGTACCACGACATCTGGCAGATGTACAAGAAGGCCGAGGCGTCGTTCTGGACCGCAGAGGAGGTAAGCCCCGCCCCCTCCACCCTAACGACCTCTGTAGGTGTTGGAGGTTCAAGATGATTTCTAACGACTCGTGTGTTCAGGTGGATCTGTCGAAGGACCAGCAGCACTGGGAGTCCCTGAAGGACGAGGAGCGTTACTTCATCTCTCACGTGTTGGCCTTCTTCGCCGCCAGCGACGGCATCGTCAACGAGAATCTGGTGAGGATGAAAATCAAAGACAATGAATTTTAAAACAATAGAGATGAAGGCGTGAAACTTTGATCTGATGATCTGCTGTTCCTCCTCTGACCACCAGGTGGAGCGCTTCACTCAGGAGGTCCAGGTGACGGAGGCCCGGTGTTTCTACGGGTTCCAGATCGCCATGGAGAACATCCACTCCGAGATGTACAGCCTCCTCATCAACACCTACATCAGAGAGCCCGCAGAGAGGTGAGGACCCCAGACCAGTCTGTAGTGGACCCGCTAACGGGTCTGTACAGGGCCCGCTAACGGGTCTGTACAGGACCCGCTAACGGGTCTGTAGTGGACCTGCTAACCGGTCTGTAGTGGACCCGCTAACCGGTCTGTAGAGGACCCGCATGTTTAGATTGTTTGGTGTTGACTAGCTGTTCTGACGGTGTGTTCACTGACCCTCAGAGAATACCTGTTCAACGCCATTGAGACTCTGCCGTGTGTGAAGAAGAAGGCCGACTGGGCGATCAACTGGATCGGAAACAAGAGCGCCAACTACGGTAAGAGCCGCTACGTGAACTCAAGCGATAGAAACGGTTGGAGGTGTCGGAGTGACGCTCGTGTGCACGAGATGTTTGTAAAACTTGTTAATTAAAAACAAAATGGTCCGATCTCGCCCTCACTGGTTCTGACGTGGTCTCTGTCTACTTCCTGTAGGAGAGCGAGTCGTGGCGTTCGCTGCCGTGGAGGGGATCTTCTTCTCGGGGTCGTTCGCTGCGATCTTCTGGCTGAAGAAGCGCGGCCTGATGCCCGGCCTGACCTTCTCCAACGAGCTGATCAGCAGAGACGAGGGTCTGCACTGCGACTTCGCCTGCCTCATGTTCAAACACCTGCAGAACAAACCGTCTGAGGAGACGGTCAAGAGCATCATCCAGAACGCCGTGGAGATCGAGCAGGTAGCGTACTGACACCGAGACGACCTCTCAACTCGCCGTTTTCCCCCGCCGCCCTCCTCTAAAGCCTGTTTGTGTTTTCAGGAGTTCCTGACGGAGGCGCTGCCCGTGAAGCTCATCGGGATGAACTGTGAGCTCATGAAGCAGTACATCGAGTTCGTCGCCGACAGACTGATGCTGGAGCTCGGCTTTGAAAAGGTAACTATGGCAACCAGAGGGCGCTGTTTGAACCGTGTTGTCACGGGGGGTCAGGTCTGTGGTGATGAGACGCGCAGGGGTACGGACCTCAGCCGATGATGGGGGCTGAGTGCTGCTGCTCCGCTCTGATTGGAGGACGTGTGGTTCACCGGTCAGGGCGCCAGCAGCACGAGACAGACGCCACACTGAACAGACCGCCGCCGCAAAATCTAAATGCTGTAAATCTAAAAGACTGAAACTTTAGAACAGGATCTTCAATGGAACTGTTAGATTTATCTCTTGAGTAGACTTTGTTCTGCGGCGGCCTTCGTCCAACGCCGTCGCTCAGCTGAGACGTCTTTAACTTTGATCTGTGATGTGTGTGCAGATCTACCGCGTGGAGAACCCGTTTGACTTCATGGAGAACATCTCTCTGGAGGGGAAGACCAACTTCTTTGAGAAGCGTGTTGGCGAGTACCAGAGGATGGGCGTGATGTCGGGCACCACAGACAACACGTTCAGGCTGGACGCCGACTTCTAGACGACTCACACAGACTCTGACTTCCTGCTGGACGACCACCTGACACTAGACTCACCTGAGGCTGCGAGGCGGTGATGAACTGTGAGGGGGGCGGGGCTCTTGATCTGGATATCTGCTGAGTCATGATGTAAATAAAATGAGAGTTACACTCAGCAGGTAACCAGGTGGACTCTGGGTTCTCCTCTTAATGAAAAGTAGACTTTGTTTTTATAGCTGCTCTATTATGTTTTTAAACTGACCTGTTTTTAGGGTTTCTGTTGATTCTGTACAGGGTTGTTGTTGTTGTTGTTGTTTGTTTGCATTAAATTTAAACTTACTGCAAACTGTTTCCTCTTTACATCTACATGTTGATCCAAACTAGAGCTAACTGGTTAAGTGTCCCTTCAGGCTCACCGTAGATAGTCAGTGATGTAACTCTGCAGGTTGGAGGGCCCCTCATGGGAACGTCACATGGGGCCTCAGACTCCACAGCGCCCTCAATGTGATACTGAAACTATGCAGAGTCTTATTCTTTTTGCATCTTCAGCACAGAATTATTTTTGTTTTTTATTTTTGTCTTTATTGGAATCATAAGACCAATGCTGCGTTCAAGTGCTCCTCGGAAAAGTCGGACGTTCCATTTGTGTTATCGTCATGGCGACATGCGCGTGTTTAAGTTGCCTCGTAGAAAGAAGAGCACGCGATGAGCTTCAGGTAAACAAACTCAACTGACATGATATCCACTTCAAGTTTGTGCTTATAGATTCATGAACTAAATAAATGAGAGCGACTGTTCTTTACTGACCGGTAATTGTTGACGTTGTTTCTGTTGCTCTGAAACGTCACGCAGACGTCACACCTCTGAAACGTATCGTAGACATTTCTCTTGACGGGTTTTGAGGATAGTTCATGTAACATTCGTTAATCCGACATTTCCGATGAGCAGCTGAAGGCAGCATGAGAGCCATCCTCCAACCAAACCGCTGATAGTTCTGTCGGGAGCGGACAGCTACGTCATCACGCAGAACCACAATCTGTTTATTAAACGTGACAAAACGGTCGGAAGTGGAAGTGACGTGATATAACTGATGAGTGATTTACTAACATCTTATCTCCGACAGTTACTAAGTGATGTTTATCGATCCTGTGTCTAAAGTTGATCTCGATTTGGCTCCTCCTTGTAACGTACAACCTCGCTGACGTCATATGAGGAAGTAAACAAAAGTCCAAACTAGCAGCGTCAGGTCGCGCCACTTCTTCTCCAACATGTCGGTTTCAAACCCGAGGCAGACGTTTCTAAACCCGGTGAGATGCTTTCTGAGTTTCTTTAAGAGTATTAAATATCTGTTTGGAGTTTGTTTATCTTCTTTATTCACGTTAAAGTTGAATTTGTATAAAGAGACGTCATGTTTTATTCAGCGTCACAAAGTCGTTCATCTTTAATGAGACGTTGTTGTAGAACACAAAGTAAATTCAGAACATGAGCCAAACTTCAGAATGTTAACTGTGGTTTATTTGGGACCACAGACTTCATGAAACTGAGCTGGAGGTCTGTTCTTTGAGTTGAGTCATTCTGTTGAGCTGTGAAGAAATGTGTTGATGATTTATAATGGAGACTGGTTCAGGAACAAACTGGTCAAAATGGTTTTTTTGGAAGAGAACATGTACGTGATCATTAAAGGTCCAATCAGTGAGCTGTGTAGAGAGTGAGATGATAAAGGTACCTTACTCTCTGATCATTAAAGGACCAATCAGAGAGCTGTGTAGAGAGTGAGATGATAAAGGTACCTTACTCTCTGATCATTAAAGGACCAATCAGTGAGCTGTGTAGAGAGTGAGATGATAAAGGTATCTTACTCTCTGATCATTAAAGGTCCAATCAGTGAGCTGTGTAGAGAGTGAGATGATAAAGGTATCTTACTATCTGATCATTAAGGAAACATGCTATGTTGAAGTGCTGGCTTCTCTGACAACAATGCAGCAGCCAGTATGTCCTCCTTCTAACTTTAGATTCTGCTCCTGAATGCTCTGGATTTGTTTGGACCAGAGAAGGTAGGCGCTTTAAAGACCCCCCCCACACGGCCGTTTTGTGCATTACAGCAGCTCCAGAAAAACAGGGGACGAGAATATAATAATTAAAAATAGAAGTTAAAATCAAATCAAACATATTTACATCAGTTAAATAAGAAATACAATCATTTTAAAGAGTCTGACTGCAGATGGGATGAACGACCTGCAGTAGCGCTCTGTCTTGCAGCGATGGATCTCTCGTCTCTCTGTTTGTTTGTTTGTTTCTTTGTTTGTTTGTTTGTTTAATATAAACATCTCTGTTCCCTGACAGTCGATCCCCTTCGCTGGGACCCTCCTGGGCGGTCTGCTGCCGGGGGAGATGGTTCTCATTCAGGGCTCGGTGCCGTCTAACGCCGACAGGTGAGGACTCCTGAAGCTGCCTGACACACCTGAGTCCTCATCCAGGTTTAGTGACATCACCGCCTCCTCTGTCTCTCAGGTTCCAGGTGGACTTTACGTGCGGCAGCAGCGTGAAGCCGAGGGCCGACGTGGCGTTTCACTTCAACCCGAGGTTCAGGAAGTCTCCGTGCATCGTCTGCAACTCGCTGCAGAAGGAGCGCTGGGGCCGAGAGGAGATCCTGTACCAGATGCCGTTTGCAGCCGGAGCCGCGTTCGAGCTCGTCATCTTCATCCTGAAGGACAAGTTCAAGGTGAGAGACGGGACGCCGCGGGGGAACGCTTTCACACCGACGGTGTTCATGTGTTCAACAGAACTCTGCAGGAGCAGAGTGCAGGGGAGGGGGGGAGGGGGGGGGCCGCTCAGAGTTAAAGGTCGCGTGGACGAGTCACGAGGGGATTGTGTGATGGCCACGCTCGATCAGTCTGTGTGTGGCGCCCTCTTCATGCACTTCCTCCTCCGTCCTGCAGGTGGCGGTAAACGGCGGCCACTTGTTGGAGTACAAACACCGGGTGGAGCTGGAGCTGGTCGACACTCTGCTCATCTCGGGAAAGGTCAAAGTTCAAGCCGTGGGCATCCTGCCGAGCGTGGTGAGTCACTCTGAACTTCCTGTTTGTTTGTTTGATGGTCATGTGAGCGAGAGCGCTGAGAGGAGAAAACATGAAAACATGTGATGAATCACATGTTGTTGTTGTTGTTGTTGTTTTTTAGAGTGCCGCGCCTCCTCCAGCCGGTCTGAGCAGCACGGACGCACACGCCAACGTAAGAACGACCTCCAGCTTTAAATCACCAAATCATCAAAGAGAAAACATTTCAAAGTGTTTTTCTGTTTCTCCCTCCAGCCTGTGAAGTCTTCTTCAGGAGACTTGGTGAGTTGTTGATGGTCGTGGAGAGAGAGAGAGAGAGAGAGAGAGAGAGACAGAGAGATAGAGAGAGACAGAGAGAGAGAGAGAGAGAGACAGAGAGAGACAGAGAGAGAGAGAGAGAGACAGAGAGAGAGAGACAGAGAGAGAGAGAGAGAGACAGAGAGAGAGGCAGAGAGAGAGACAGAGAGAGAGAGATGGGGGTGTAGTTGGGGGGGGGTGTATTTGGGGGGGGGGGGTGTAGTTGGGGGGGGGTGTAGTTGGGGGGGGGGTGTATTTGGGGGGGGTGTATTGGGGGGGGGGTGTAGTTGGGGGGGGTGTATTTGGGGGGTGTAGACCTGGATCAGAGAGTTAAAGTAAGGAGACGTTGTTGTGTCTGTTGGGAGCCGGTGGTGGGAGAGTTACTGTTCTTTATTTAAAGTCTGTTTGGTATAAAGGGGGCGATGTGGTCTCAGGTTCTGAACTCTGTGTGTCTCTTTCCTTCAGAGCGTCCCCTTCACCGGCGAGCTGCTGAGAGGACTGAAAGTGGGACGCAGCATCACCATCAAAGGAGAGACCAACCACAACGCAGACAGGTACACCACAACACCACAACACCACAACACCACATAGTGATCTCAAAACCAGTCATGAAGGTTTCAGTACTGATCCGGTCTCAGACTGGACTGACTGCAGATGTTAAATCAAGACCGGTCAAGACCACCTCTGAAAGACGTCGTTACTGTGGGGGTCTGATGCTCCTCTTCCTGAGGGGGGGTCTGATGCTCCTCTTCCTGAGGGGGGTCTGATGCTCCTCTTCCTGAGGGGGTCTGATGCTCCTCTTCCTGAGGGGGGGTCTGATGCTCCTCTTCCTGAGGGGGTCTGATGCTCCTCTTCCTGAGGGGGGTCTGATGTTCCTCTTCCTGAGGGGGTCTGATGCTCCTCTTCCTGAGGGGGGTCTGATGCTCCTCTTCCTGAGGGGGGGTCTGATGTTCCTCTTCCTGAGGGGGGTCTGATGCTCCTCTTCCTGAGGGGGGGTCTGAGGGGGGTCTGATGTTCCTCTTCTGTGTTTCAGTTTCTGTGTGAACCTGAGGGTCTCGGGCAGCAGTGACATCGCTCTTCATCTGAACCCTCGTGTGAAGAAAGGCGTGCTGGTCAGGAACTCCTTCCTGTCAGGATGCTGGGGCCCCGAGGAGGCGGAGCTCGACTCCTTCCCCTTCAGAGCGGGACAATACTTTGAGGTACAGCAGCTGGACACAAAACAGAGACACACAACAGAAACTATGACCATACTGAAGTGTGTGTGTGTGTGTGTGTGTGTGTGTGTGTGTGTGTGTGTGTGTGTGTGTGTGTGTGTGTGTGTGTGTGTGTGTGTGTGTGTGTGTGTGTGTGTGTGTGTGTGTGTGTGTGTGTGTGTGTGTGTGTGTGTGTGTGTGTGTGTGTGTGTGTGTGTGTGTGTTCTCTATGCAGATGATCGTCCTCTGTGACCTTCATCACTTTAAAGTAGCCGTTAACGGGCTCCACCAGCTGGACTACAAACACCGGGTCCAGGACCTGATCCGGATCAGCCAGCTGGAGGTTCAGGGAGACGTGAGGCTGCTGGATGTGCAGATCCTCTGAACGCACCGCGGCGTGCAGATCCTCTGAACGCACCGCGGCGTGCAGATCCTCTGAACGCACCGCGGCGTGCAGATCCTCTGAACGCACCGCGGCGTGCAGATCCTCTGAACGCACCGCGGCGTGCAGATCCTCTGAACGCACCGCGGCGTGCAGATCCTCTGAACGCACCGCGGCGTGCAGATCCTCTGAACGCACCGCGGCGTGCAGATCCTCTGAACGCACCGCGGCGTGCAGATCCTCTGAACGCACCGCGGCGTGCAGATCCTCTGAACGCACCGCGGCGTGCTGCTCACACTTTATATCACTAACATGAGAACGTGTTACACTTTGTATCAGACGGTTAATCATCCACAGTAACCACGAGCTCGTCTTCTGTTTGTGATTCTATTAACTGATTATAACAGAGGAGAAAACAGAGAGCATCATGGGAGAAAACAGAGAGCATCATGGGAGTGTTGATGAATATTTGTACTTGTATAAAATAAAGAAACAACTGAAGCTGGTTAACTGTTCTTCTCTGGAGGGAAATTCCTGATCTGGGAAAAGGGGGCGTGGCCAAGGAGCAGACAGCACGCTCTGATGTCATGTTTTGGTTTGTGACCCTGACCTCCATTTTTTACACCCCGAGCCGTACTGCTAACACAAGCGTTCATGCATTGAGGGCGCCGGGTGTTTGGCGCCCCCTGTAGGGAGCTTGTAGTCCTCCAGGTGGGGGATCCGTCCATCAAGTGTTAAGAAGCCCACAGTGACCATTTATTGTTTTAGTCATTTTTATTAAAAAACAAATAAAATCATGTGACCTCTGACATCTACACACAAAGAGACAGCATGTAAACAGGAAGTCCCAAAGGTAACGGAAGATAAAAACTTTATCGACAAAGGGGTGTTGACAAGAAACAAGATGGAGGACAATCCCTGGAGGTCGAGAAAGTTCATCAGGGGGAGAAGAAGTTTCCGGCGTCAACACGCCGTCGACGAGTCTGCTGCTGCTCGAAGAACTGACGGATATCCTCAGGTGTTACCACCTGTCAGCCAATCAGAGAGTAGAAACAAGTCGTCAGGTTTTATCAGCCAATCAGAGAGTAGAAACAAGTCGTCAGAGTTTATCAGCCAATCAGAGAGTAGAAACAAGTCGTCAGACTTTATCAGCCAATCAGAGAGTAGAAACAAGTCGTCAGGTTTTATCGGCCAATCAGAGAGTAGATGTAGGTGTGACTCACCTTTCCTTCTGCTGCAAATTTCTGCAAGAAATCCTTGAGCTCCGTTTTCATGTCGTTGTATCCTGAAAGAAAACCGAACAGAAGCTCGTGAACACCTCTTAAACCTGGTCCAGGTATCCTAGAACTCGTGGTAACGTGGGTTGGTAACGTAGTACCATGAAGTTTTCGTACCGTGGATGATCTCCAGCTGTTGAACTCGGTTCAGGTTGTCCAGCGCTGACATCAGAGGGTCGTTACCTCTCGCCGTCTGTTCGCTGTTCTTTCCTTTGTTCTCATAAGCGAGGACCGTGTCCGACTCGTCAGACAGGAAGGACACGCCCGCTGCAGCCATACGTTCCTGATGACACAAACACGTAGAGTCAAAGAAAGCACTCACTGAGCATGCTCAGACTGACACCCGAGCCAATAAAAACAGGTGAGCGTTACCTGAGCCAATAGAAACAGGTGAGCGTTACCTGAGCCAATAGAAACAGGTGAGCGTTACCTGAGCCAATAGAAACAGGTGAGCGTTACCTGAGCCAATAGAAACAGGTGAGCGTTACCTGAGCCAATAGAAACAGGTGAGCGTTACCTGAGCCAATAGAAACAGGTGAGCGTTACCTGAGCCAATAGAAACAGGTGAGCGTTACCTGAGCCAATAGAAACGGACGAGCGTTACTCGAGCCAATAGAAACGGGCGAGCGTTACTCGAGCCAATAGAAACAGGTGAGCGTTACCTGAGCCAATAGAAACAGGTGAGCGTTACCTGAGCCAATAGAAACGGACGAGCGTTACTCGAGCCAATAGAAACGGGCGAGCGTTACTCGAGCCAATAGAAACAGGTGAGCGTTACCTGAGCCAATAGAAACAGGTGAGCGTTACTGAGCCAATAGAAACGGACGAGCGTTACTCGAGCCAATAGAAACGGGCGAGCGTTACTCGAGCCAATAGAAACGGACGAGCGTTACTCGAGCCAATAGAAACGGGCGAGCGTTACTCGAGCCAATAGAAACGGGCGAGCGTTACTCGAGCCAATAGAAACGGGCGAGCGTTACTCGAGCCAATAGAAACGGGCGAGCGTTACTCGAGCCAATAGAAACGGGCGAGCGTTACTCGAGCCAATAGAAACGGACGAGCGTTACTCGAGCCAATAGAAACGGACGAGCGTTACCCGAGCCAATAGAAACGGGCGAGCGTTACTCGAGCCAATAGAAACGGACGAGCGTTACTCGAGCCAATAGAAACGGCGAGCGTTACTCGAGCCAATAGAAACGGACGAGCGTTACTCGAGCCAATAGAAACGGGCGAGCGTTACTCGAGCCAATAGAAACGGGCGAGCGTTACTCGAGCCAATAGAAACGGACGAGCGTTACCCGAGCCAATAGAAACGGGCGAGCGTTACTCGAGCCAATAGAAACAGGCGAGCGTTACCTAAGCCTCCTGAAGTCACCTGAACGCAGCATACCTTGCACGTGTTGCAGGAGCAGAGTTTGGACCGCCATCCAGACGGCCAGAATACGGCGCCCGATTGGACTCTTTTCTGATCAATTGCCTGCAGCTCCTTTAGTTTACAGTTTGGCCCCGCCTCCTCGCGGCTTCTTTTACAGCTGGGCTCGATGACATCATCATCCTAAGAAATAGTTGATAATAAATGAATCACATAAAGCAGTATGAAATGTCATTTAAAGCAGGTAGACCTGAACTCACCTTCTCTTCTTTTTTTGTGTTTGACTCGTCTGCTTCAGCCTCCTGCTTCAGGTCAACACCTGGAACTAAACGAGTCGCACACAGGTAAACACTAGGGGGCGATATAACCCTCAGGTTGAGTTTTTTTATGAAGAGTGTGTAAAGTGACTCAGGGTTTATCCCATGTTTTTAGCGTTTGTTACCATGGTGATCTACCAACATGAGAAAAGGGGGTGGCGTGTTTACCTGCCAGGTGAGCGGCGTAGGTCCACAGGAAGGAGTTTTTTGTCATACAGGACTCACAGATCATCTCCTGCAGCTCCACACAGTCTGGAACCTCAGAACCCAGGTGCTAAAAAAAGAACACAAAGGTGAGACCACCAGAGGGCGCCACCTCACCGTGTGACATCACAGCTGACAGGTAAGTCAGGTGCACTGTTGGGACTCACCCTGCCGTGCAGCCAGTCCTCGCACACCACACACTGAATCATCTCATCCTCCACCTGCAGATACATTCAGCCAATCACAGAGAGACTCAGGTTACAGAGGAGCACGAGCACACCTGGTGGGCAGGTGAGGTTCAGCTGTGAGTCTCACCTGGTCGTCTGGGTCAGGATACGGTCTGTTGCACGTGCAGTAAACCCGAAGAAGTTGTGACTGTATTTGTTCAGATGGTTGACGTCGTCCTTCTCCTGCACACACACACACACACACACACACACACACACACACACACACACACACACACACACACACACACACACACACACACACACACACACACACACACACACACACACACACACACACACACACACACACACACACACACACACACACACGCGGAGCCTTTAAGACTCACACACACTTCACTCCGATCATCACGTCATTATTCTTCATACTCACCGGGGAGAGTTTACACTGCAGCTCAGAGAACTTCCTGTTTCCACAGTCACAGCGGAAGTTCCTAAAACACAGAAGAAGAGTTTGATCATTTGTATAAATATGAAGTGTGAAAACTCATGAAGGGACATTTTGATTATTATTGATAACCTCTGACCTTTTGGTGTAAAGTTCGTAGAGGTCGTGACCTTCGTGACATTTGTATGAACAGGCCAAACACACACCTGCTGCCTCTCCTCCACCTGGAGTACAGGTGTGACAGGCGTACACAGCCTGACGCTTCACATAGCCCTGACACACACACACAGACACACACAGACACACACACACACACACACACAGACACAGACACAGACACACACACAGACACACACACACACACACACACACACACACACACACACACACACACACACACACACACACACACACACACACACACACACACACACACACACACACACACACACACACACACACACACACACACACTTTTAATTCATTATTGGATTTTGCGTATAACAATGCGATTAACGCGATTAAAACTTTTAATCGTTGCCCAGCCCTAATTATTATATATATTTAATGAAAATAGTACAAAATGTATGAGTCCATCAGTACCTAGGATACTTGGACAGTACCTAGGATACTTAGACTGCACCTAGGATACTTGGACAGTACCTAGGATACTTAGACTGCACCTAGGATACTTGGACAGTACCTAGGACAGTACCTAAGATACCTGGACAGTACCTAGGATACTAGAACAGAACCTAGGATACTTGGACAGTACCTAGGATACTAGGACAGTACCTAGGATACTTGGACAGTACCTAGGATACTTGGACTGTACCTAGGATACTTGGACTGTACCTAGGATACTTGGACTGTACCTAGGACAGAATCTAGGATACTTGGACAGTACCTAGGACAGAATCTAAGATACTTGGACAGTACCTAGGACAGTACCTAGGATACTTGGACAGTACCTAGGACAGTACCTAGGATACTAGGACAGTACCTAGGATACTAGGACAGTACCTAGGATACTTGGACAGTACCTAGGACAGTACCTAGGATACTAGGACAGTACCTAGATACTTGGACAGTACTAGGACAGTACCTAGGATACTAGGACAGTACCTAGGATACTTGGACAGTACCTAGGACAGTACCTAGGATACTAGGACAGTACCTAGGACAGTACTAGGATACTAGGACAGTACCTAGGACAGTACCTAGGACAGTACCTAGGATACTAGGACAGTACCTAGGATACTAGGACAGTACCTAGGATACTTGGACAGTACCTAGGATACTAGGACAGTACCTAGGATACTTGGACAGTACCTAGGACAGTACCTAGGATACTAGGACAGTACCTAGGATACTTGGACAGTACCTAGGACAGTACCTAGGATACCTGGACAGTACCTAGGATACTAGGACAGTACCTAGGATACTAGGACAGTACCTAGGATACTAGGACAGTACCTAGGATACTTGGACAGTACCTAGGACAGTACCTAGGATACTAGGACAGTACCTAGGATACTTGGACAGTACCTAGGACAGTACCTAGGATACTAGGACAGTACCTAGGACAGTACCTAGGATACTAGGACAGTACCTAGGACAGTACCTAGGACAGTACCTAGGATACTAGGACAGTACCTAGGATACTAGGACAGTACCTAGGATACTTGGACAGTACC